GAATACCCGAGTTCGTGGCCGACTAGGCCGAATACCCGAGTCCGTGGACGACCAGGTCGAATACCCGAGCCCACCGACCACTCACAATCTGAACGGAACGTGTCGGTGTGCTCGGCCAAGTCACGGATTTACGCCAGGATAATTATGGAGAGGTTAATTTATGTAATGCACCGGATTAGCCCCCTAATTTCCCGGGGCCCAGTCCTTAATCGCGGCCCAATAAGAATCACTATAAATAGGACCCTAGCGAGGTACGTAACTAACTTTCAACTACCACATTTATTACGCCGAGCACTTACTTGAGCGTTGGAGTGTTGACCTCTCTTGTCACAATTCCAACAAACAATATCATTTTGGAATTTTGGCTGACCTTTAGCTCTTGACTTTGATCTTTCTCGATTGTTGTAACCCTTTTGAGTGGTTCTTCCTCTACTTTCAGTATTTAATGCTGAACTGGAAGTAGAACTGGAAGGCTCCTCGAAGTCTCTCCTGCGAACATCTTCGCTCAAGATCAGGTCGCAAATGTTGTTGAGCCTTAACTGCCAGATGTAGTGAGACCGAATCTTAGTGTGTTTGGATGAGAAATTTTACAAATTCAAGGAATTTTAAATTCTTGGTATTTGAATTACTTTGATTTCAATTTCTATCATTCTTAAAATATTTTGCAATAAATATAATATATATTGATATATTGTTAAAAGGTGTAGGTATAGACTATAGTGACACATAAAATATGTCGTTAAATATCATTTAAAATCAATATTAAAAATTATATGTAATTATATGTCAAATAAAAATATATATATATATATATACACATATATTGTATTTATAGGAGTCGGCCTATCATGCCCCCACCGACCATGTAGCCCGAACTCCGGTTACTTCTTTGATTGGTGGCAAGATTGACACCACCACCCACTGGTTGAGACACCCCTTCTCCCGAAGGATAATGGAGGCAACCCTGTTAGACCATTGGAAGAGCATGCTGATCGAGAACTATGACGGGTCCACCGACCCCGAGGAGCACTTGAACGTTTTCCTGACACAAGCGACCCTCTCTACTCAAGATGACTCGGCCTT